GAGAACCCCAACGAGTTTTACCGGGTCTTTGAAATGAAACCTCTTGGTTTAATCCCTTTCATGTCTTAATTTCACCTTTCTTAGTTCTTTCCTCTATTTTTTTCCGAAAATCTTCTCGAACCATATCTTTCCTCTTACAAGAAGCTCCAACCACATTTAACAAGACAGCAAGCTTATCAAAGAAATCCCCAACTCCATAATGCTTTTGAGCAACTGCCACGACGACTAACTGAAGCTGATGAGCAAAACAATGGACATAATATGCAGAGCTGCATTCTCTAAGAATCAAAGATCTCAATCCGTTGAATTCACCCTTCATATTACTCGCTCCATCATAACCTTGTCCTCTTAACTTTTTCATACTCAGTCCATGTTTAGCAAACAAGGAATCAACAGCACACTTTAGAGATAAAGAAGATGTCTCTTGCACATGAACTAGACCAACAAACCTTTCTTTAACTATCCCATTCTTATCAACAAAGCGAAAAACCACTGCCATTTGCTCTTTATCAGAAACATCTGCAGACTCATCCACCAACAAACAAAATATATCATGACCAACTTCTTGGATGACAGATTCAATAACTTCTTCTGCAAAGCAATGAACTATATCTGTCTGAATTTTGTGGGATACCATCTGATTGTTTTTAGGAGCATTCTCTAAAACAACCTTACTCACAAGCTCATTTTGCTGTGCAGTATATTTCACAAGCTCCAAAAAATTTCCCTTGTTAACTGAATCCGCTGACTCATCATGACCTCGAAATGGTAGTCCTTGTCGTAACAAATACCTACAAACATCAATTGAAGCATTCAATCTGATCCTGTATTCATTTTTAACCGCGTCATCTTGCTTATAAAAAGCATGAACAATTGATTGCTCCGGTCTCATAAAATAATCAGCCCTTTTCAATGCACTATTGTGAAAACTATTCACTGCTCCAACATGATCATGTAATCTCCCAGCCTTGTTCCAATCACCAAAGCCAGTAATCACAAACGCATCACTTCCACCCTTATTTTCAGTGTAATCTCTAAACAAGTAGCAGAACAAACAAAATGCTTTGTCCTTTTTCACACTATATTCCAACCAATCACCATAGAGATCAAACCAAGATGGATTGAATCGCCTCAATTTATTTGTAAACATTCTTTTAGGAAATTCATGACCACGAGGTTGACAAGGACCTCTAAGAAGATATCTGCGTATTACCTCATCTCTTTGATTTGCAGGATATTCTGATATTCTTTTCCTTTCTCCTGGATCATAAGGTAAATCCTCCAAATCATTTTCAGTAGTAGACACAGATTCAAACTTTCTTTTGGGTTTGAAATATTTTTCCATTGAAACTTTAACTGCAAAAGAAAAAAAAACTGTTAACAAACCACAATTCTAGTTTCTAAGTTTTCATAACTTTTCTTATTAACTAAGTATTGTACTAACTTAAACTAGACAAAAAAAACAACGGTACAGATTTAAAAAACAATGATAATTTAATATAGAACTCATTACCTATGTCTGATTTAGAGTATTGTTGTGATTGGAAGCAAAAACCTTTAATTGGAAAAAAAGAAGAAAACATAATGAAAGAAGAAGAAGACGTGAAACTAACTAGGTCAAAATTTCAGAATTATTACACCTCTTTTATTGGGCTTTGTATTTTAAATTGGGCTACAATTGTATTTGGTTGGGTAATGATTTCATTAAAAATAAGTTTTTATCTACATACCTTTCCTATCTACTCATCGTATACATATATAATTATATACAAAAATTTTTTTTTTGAAAAATAGACGGTGTCACGTGACACCGTGAACCACCACCTACATCCGCCCCTGGGGACATTGCTGGAGTTTTAAAAGTGAATAGTACAAGAGACATTTTCTTAATTATGGTTTGTTTCATGTATATGGCACCTAATTTCTCTGTAATTAATGTGACTACAAACTTGTATACTGATATCACTCAACGTGTACGTGAGCATGTTGCGAGTTCTAGGTTGATGCATCAAATAAAGTCCAGTTATGGGCATGGTGTTACTACCTTAATGTATTCATGCATATATTAAACCACTTGATAGTTTTTCAAAGATTCAAATACACGCTAAGGTTCCTTAAAATAAAATCAAAATAAGTATTTTCCGAGTAGGAGCTAGTTTGCAGTAGATTCGAGAAAACCAAACGTTAAAAAGTGAAACCAAGGAAAATAGTTATTTCATAAAGTTTGTAATATAATTACGAAACGGAAGTGGAATGATGGCATGCTTGACTTTTGTGATTAGCCATCACTCTATAAACCGGTGCAATATGTAAGAGCACCATTAAGACCACCATTATCGCATGGTTTCAAGAGGGTTTTTACCCAAAAAGTAAGCTGTGGGCCACCACAAAAAGAAAGAAACGAGTTGCACAATTGCAGGAGAAGAAACGTTTGTTCATGGATTTTGGTACTGTTTGCGGGCCCCTTAAACACATGGTGGCCCGCCATTGGTATATTTTATAAACTTTTTTTTTTAGTTAAAAAGTAAAAATTTAAGAAACCCATTTGTAAGTTTGTGGGATAAAGATGGTCTAACGGTGACTCTTAGCCCAACTCTTACCCCCTAAACCCAATTAAAAACATTAAAAGAAAAAAGCGGCCCAGAACTCGCCTCTTGCGGGAGAGCCAGAAGAGGCGCCTCTTCGTGGCACGTGTCAAGCGCTCAAACGACCTCACCATCTTCTCTCGATCAACTCTCTCTCTCTCTATCTCGATCATCTCTCTCTCTCTCAATCGACGAAAGGCAATTTTTTCTCCACCGGTGTCGCTCAACGGTGACGTCTCCGTCGGTATCTCTCATCGGAGAAAGGCCGAAAACCTAAAATCAAGGATGAATCTCAGACTCTGTCGATGAAAGAGAGCAGCAGCGGGAAGAAGACGAAGCAGAAAGAGCAGAGTGTGGACGAGAAGTACACTCAGTTATTATCTTGTGGTTACTTTGCTTTATACTCTCTGTTATAGTTTTGATGCTCTAATTTTGATAACCTTGTTCTTGTTTCGATGCTCTAATTTATCAAGAAGAAGCACCTAATTTTGGTTTTGGAGAATTCAATTCCAGCCATGCCTTCTCTCCAGCTTTTGCAGTTAACTGAGCGTGGTCGTGGTCTTGTAGCTTCAAGACGGTAACAATTGCTTTACTCTGAATTTGTACTTAGATAAAAAAAATTACTGTTTTGCTTATTCTTGTGATGTTCTTGGGGATGAGCTCTCATACTATTTTGCTTGCGGCTGAGATTGTAGATGCGGGTGGAGCTGCTGTTTAATTGAAATCAAGGATCAGCTCCAGGAGCCTTGGTTCTTCACGTCATTGCAATGGTCATAGTGATGATGATGATGAGGCATTGGAAAAGATGACAGGAATAAGAAAACCGCGAAAAAGAAGAAAGGAGGAGGATTGAAGTCTCTTCAAAGTTTGATAAAGGGTGAACAAAGTTTTCAATTATGAGGAAAAATATTGTGTTCTTACCAGATGGTTTCCTTTGGTAAATTTGTTGTTTGTGCTTTTCACAGATGGGGTCTGCAGCTTGACCAAGCAACCTACAAGAACTGCCAGCATCTGTATCTCTCTGAACAAGTAGGTTCTTCACTTCTACTGTCTATTAGCATTACAGACATTTGTCTCAAGATCTCAGAATATTTGTTTGTCTCATCAAATTTGTATTTGTAATTTTTTTTTTGCTTGGTTGTATCATTAGACTGATGGCAGTGTCGTTAGACTGATCTCAGAAGAAGCATGTTCTCCATTTGTGAAGAAGTACAAGACCATCATTCACATAGAGAGATTTGAACTCTTGTATCAATATTGTTTAAATTAGTGCATCTATTTTGTTTGTTTGAGACTTTGATGATAGTAAAAATTTTAAGAACCTTAAAATAAGAACTTCCCATTGAAGCTAAAAAATTAGGTGTCTCTTAAGTATAAACTCTTAACAATTATTAATTCTTAAAAATCATTAAGAGCCCAAATTTGTCTCTAAGGGTTAATGATGCTCTAACATTCATAAACTCTTTCGTTGCATGTACCTCTCTCGATCTCCCCATCCTTCTCCACACCGATGACGAGACGTTATTCTCTCAACCGTTGCATGACTCTACCCAGCTTCATTACCCACCAGAGAAGCCCAATTATCCTCATCGAATCACTCCTCCGTCGCAGCAGACGACAATACTGATCAATCAGTCTCTCCATTGTCCTCCTTGAGTTGTCTCGTTTTTCAGCGATGGTGTCTTAGATTGTGAGAGGTAACTTAGAGTAAGAACTGATGATGATACAATTTGAGGAGACTTGTTCTTTACTTGTAACCGATATCTTCCTACCTGGCTGAACAAGAGTTGTGTCTGAATAAAAAAAACTTTGCAAGTTAGATTTTAATTATATTTGATGATAATTAAAATTTAATTAACTAATTTCAAAAATATATTTTAAAAATATTTAAAAAGATTTTTTTAGAATTTTTTTTCAAAATATTTATTTGTATTTCAAATAAAAATAATATATGAAAAGATATCATAATTATGATATGTAAAATTTAATAATCTTTCTAAATATTGTCTAAATTGAAAAAATCTCATATGAAGTGAAGTTGTGAAAGAATCTTTTTTACAGATGCTCTGAAAAAAAAAAAAAAAAAAAAGAGAACGAGAGTTGTCGATCAATACAGAGCCACCCAAATCAATATCATTGGTTCTCTAAGAAACTCCTGAGACTGACTTAATTATTTATGTTGTATATATTATTGTTAGCGATATATAATTAAAACTAAACGTATGGAAAAGATGCAACTTCTAACAGATTTAGGATTGTCTTTACCTAAACAAAAAGTAAAAGGAATATGTAAATCACTATATAAAGCAGTGCTACTCATCAAACTTCTAATATATAAAGGTCTTCTTCGTATTGTTGTTACCTAAGATAGAGATTGGTTTCTTGCGATATACAAAACCATACTCTTAGTTGACGATGGTGACAGATGGTGATGATCGACGCTCTGAGGAGGGTTCCAGAGGTGAGAAGAGATGTCTTGATCTTCTGGCGTTAGTTCGTGGCGTTTATGATGAGGATGAAACAAGAACTGTACAAGGAAAAGATAGTACTGTATTTAAGGAACTCTGTCTATTCAAACAAAAGAGTGATGAATGCAACGCTACTAATTACTATCATGACAATGCTTCTTCTTCCTCCTCCTCCTCGAGTTTGTCCTCTGTGGTGTCTCAAGAACCCATCAGGGCAGAGCCTATTAGGGAAGTTAAGGTCCAAAGAAAACGGCCGGTCAAAGGAGAGAGAGGGGTTACTCCGGAATGGCTGGTTAATCTGATGGGAACACTAAACGGTGGAAGCAAAGCTGGTGATTGATAAGATGATTGAGAAGAGTGATGTCAACGCAAACCAAGGACGTCTCTTGATTCCTTTTAACCAGATAGTGGAAAAAGATTTCTTGAACGAGGCAGAGTTGAACCTCATAGATGAGCATCAAAGAGATCATAGTCAAAAAGGTGTTGGTGTGATCGTGGTTGCATCTGATGGTAGAAGATGGAATGCTAACGTAAGGAGATGGAATATGAACTGTCCCAATTACTCTTTATGTTCGGGATGGAACGACGTCGTCCGCGAGAACAATCTCAAGGACAAGATAGGTCAGATTCTTCAACTATGGTCATTCCACTCATCACAAGATGGGAAGCTCTACCTTGCCTTCTTTCATCAGCCTCCAGCTCCGGAGATGCATGCAGCTTCATCTTCATCCATGGCTCTAGAAAGAGATTCAGGCAACCTAGGCCAATGCATACCTGACCTAAATATACCATTGGCTCCTCTTGAGGATCTACAAGAGAGGCATGATGGTAGGGGGACTTCACTGGAATCAGTCAGAGAGACGACGACAACGGTGGACCTCGAGCTGCGGCTAGGGCCCACAAGACATGATACGAGGACTTCACAGGAATCAGTCGGAGAGACGACGACGACGCTGGACCTCGAGCTCCGGTTAGGACGACTTCACATGAATCAGTCACTGAGACGACGACGAGGGTGGATTTCACTTAACTGATGCAGCGTGTTCTATTCTAGTTTGGTTTTGGCTTTTTTTTTTTAATTTCCTTTTGGTGTTATTCTTTTTCGTGTTCATCGCAACTTAGCTATAATTCCTTTTCATACAAGGAATGTGTGGTTTTCTTCTCAACGAAAATTAAGAACGCATTGATTTTATCCATTCCAATACTAAATAGGATTCTGGTGTTACATATGTTTATTCTTGACCCTAAGCTCTCTGTTGTCGTGTCACACAAGTAGTTTCTTTTTAAGGCTTTCACAGGATTTCTTTTCTGTGTCCGTTATTCTCGAGTATTGTTGCAGATACGATCCTAACCTTTGATTTTTTTTTAAAATTGTTTGTAAGAAAACAAGGTACTGTATTCTTTGGTAAATGTTTTTTTTTGAGTAAATGTTTTTAAATAGATAGGATCCGAATAAACCCCAGTGAACTACACAAGGATCAATAATTTGTACATAAGGAAACGACAGTGGGTGCCTTCAGACCCAATCTGCTTATGAATATAAGACGTCCTCAAGCCTCCTTCAGTATAGTAGTAAAACACATTCACATGTTTCAAAGAACGCAAGCTAACAAAGGACAACAACGATGATATTTCCAGTTTCTGATGTGCCATTGTACATACCTAAGTCCAATATCAAAAAAAAAGTAAAACATTTTCTAGTTATACTCAGGGAAGTGTAATCAGTGGATTACCGGCGAAAGATAGAGAATCATTTAAACAATAATCTAGAACATTCATTGCTCCATAGTGCATGAACCACTGAAACAAAATGATAGATGATATTTTCTCTAGTACAGAACAGAGAATATTCTTTCCGAAGAAATGTTATAACAAAGACACAAAAAGCAGTGTACAAGATAAGATCGCATGATGTTCGGAATGAGAACTTAAGATCCAGCAGCCTCTACTATAAAGTCCTAAACCAATTCCATAAGCTTCACGTCCTCCACATGATTCAGAAAAGTGACAACTCTAGAATCCTTCTCAACCGCCATGCCCTGGATTTCAACTCTTGTTACAGTTTCTTTGTCGAAATTGCAGTAGTAAACAGGGAACGGGTCGGATGGATAGTACGGTGCCAAAACAAATTCATTTGTATCAGTCACTCCAACAAAGCGTAAACTCTGCCTTGAAGCTGCGTCATTCAACATAGAAGGTATATTGAAAATCCGTTTGGACCATTCATGCTTCTCAAGGTTTTCTAGAACCCACATCTCAAAACTTGTACTCCATTCAGTAACAACGTAGGGTTCCTGCTTTACTAAGGCCAACTTGCCGTTGTAGTCTACTAAAGTTGCATAATGCATTCCATATCTAACGAAGCTGTACTTCTCAGATCTGACATCAAAGCAAACTACCATACCACGATGATATGAATCCCAAGCAGTGTAATACAAAACACCATTGATGCATATGCTCTCCCCAGGAATAAAATGGGGTATGTCACATTCAATCAATCTCCATGTCATGTTCCCTATTCCTCTCATTGTAAGAACTTGATGGTCCACAACACTATTATCTAGGGTAGTCACTGCCAACACCTTGTGTTGCTTCTCAATAGGATCATACCCTAAATAGCTCCTCATAAAAGTCCTCTCCCTTTTCTTAATTTTAGGTAACGTGTAGGATTGTCCCGTGCTAGGGTTACATACCAACACATGGTCACGAGGTTTCCCCTGATCAGTCCTTGTACAGACATAGCCATTCACAGGACTAGATATATCAAGGAAGGCCCCAAGAGGGAATCTCACACGATGCTCGACGATGACTGTAGGATTCCAATCAAGATGAGGATTCTGAGGCTGAGGTGAGGAGAAGAATATCGCCTCATTCTTACCGTGGGTTCGGTGGACGAATAATAGCTGAGGGCGAGTCAAAGATTTCGTCAAAAACAGCTCCGTGAAGGCAGAAGAGCGAAGTAGGGAGGCCCAACGCTTCGATACACAGCGACATGTCGCAATAGACTTTAGTGGCAACGACGAGAATATCTCGGCGATGAGATCGATTGGGATCTTCGATGAGAATTCGTCAAATTCACTAAGTCGTGAGCTGCGTCGTCGTTGGATAGTTTGAGGAGACTCCGAGACGTTTAGCCGCGGTGAATTCATGGCTGCGCGAGACAGTTGCTTCTTCTTCTTAAAACCCTAGATATAGTTGGGGACATGCAAATTAATTAACCCATAAATATACAAAAGAAAAAGGTACACTTTGTGTCGGTTTTGGTTCGATTGAAACGACACGTAATGTTTTTTTTTTTTGGACAAAGACATGACGTAATGTTAATATGCGTGTTTTGTCCAGTAAAAACGGCGCATCGTTCGTGACTTATCAAAATGTAAGCAATATTGGTTGGTAATAGTAGTTATCTATACTATTATTTAAGAAGTAAATTTGCTTAGTTGTCATGTTCTCCATAAGTTTAGGTAATTTTGTTTATATATCATATTTTTAATATTTATATTATTTTATTTATAAATAAAACAAATTTATATGAATATATCATATTTTTATAAAATAAGATAATTCTTGTGAATTATGTTATTATCTTGTATATTTTTATACATAAAACTTAAATTTTAAATTAAGATATAAACACTATTATAGTTATCTAAAATGAATTTGTATTAATAATTTAATATTTAAATATAATTAAAACGACTTGATATTAATGTTTTTATATTGAAATATATTTTTATATATAAAACTTAAATTTTAAATTAAGATATAAACACTATTATATTTATCCGCAACATGAAGATATAATTAAAACTAATTTATATTAATAATATGATATTTTAGAAAATAAGTTAATTCTTATGTATTATGCTGTTATCTTGAAAAAAAAAATTTCTATTATAAATTTTAAATTAACATGTAAAAAATCTATAATATTATTTAAGAAGTGAATTTAATGTTTTCTAATTTGTCATATTTTTCATGATTTTAGGTAATTTTGATAATTTATTATATATTTAAAAAAAATATTAAAAGTATCAGATTCTTAGAAAATAAAATACTTCTTATGTATTAAGTTGCTGTCTTAAAAATATATATTTTCTATTAGAAATTTAAAATTAAGATATAAAAAGTTGTAGTTATTCTATAATTGAAATAAACTTACACTAATAATATTATACTCTTAGAGAATATGGTAGTTCTTATATATTATGTTGTTATCCTGAAAATATATTTTATATTATACAATTTAAAAGTAAAATAGAAAAATTATCTATTATTAATTAAATACAGATTATCACTCAAGAAAATTTATTTAAGAAGTGAATTTGCTAACTCATTAAGTTATCAATGATTTTAGGTAATTTTAATTGTATGTCATAATTTCTATAATCTTATTTAATTATTATATAGTTAAAAAAATTATCATATTATATTTTCATAAAATAAATAACTTATGCATTATATTGTTATCTTGAAAATATGTTTTTAATATAAAAATGTAAAATTAAGATATAAATATTATAATTAAATATAAATCAAGAAAAATAGTTATAGAAATATATATATTCTTTTAAATATTCTGATGTTTGAGTTTTGTCATTGAAAATTATTTGATGTTATTTTTCTTTTTTGAAAACATAATTAAAACTTACTATGCTGATTTTTAAATTAATGAAACATCAACTAATAAATATTCATAAGAGAATTATGCCCGCACGTGCGGGCAACACACCTAGTTATACAGTACTAGGTGTTTTGCCCGCATTTGCGGGTCTAAATATTTTATAATTATTTTATTAATATATTTTTTACTAACTCAAATATTACAATGATAATGTATTAATTTTGTTTTATTTTTTGAAACCAATAATATTTATACTTTTGTTTAACAATTCTTACATATATTTCTTTGTAATTTATGTTTACTGTTAAAAATAATTTTAAAATCAAATAACATTTTTTCTGTTATATAAAATTAAGAAGTTGACTTGATTAATATTTAGTCATGTATTTTCTATTGTTTTAATTGTTAACTTTTTATCAAAATATATATTTTCAGATAACATCACAATATATATCGGAATTATCTTATTTAAAAATATATTATTTAGATTTTGGATAATTCTTATGATTATTATTAATTTTAGTTACTTATCTAATTAAAATCATTTAAATTCGTTTTTATTTTGTATGTAATTTATATACTATTTTCATTAAGGGTATAAACGATATTAACCACTTTAACTTTTAACGTGCGAGCTCCGTTGGGAAAAATCACTTCGCAAATAATAATATAGATTTTGTTAACGAGAAATAAAACTAACTAGTAATAGGAAGGAAAGAAGGAAACAGAGGTAGTTATTACAGATTTCCGATTATTTTCACTAAAAAAAGAGAGAAAAAGAGTTGTCAACTAATACAAAGCCACCCAAATTAATATCATTGGTTCTCTAAGAATCTCCTGAGACTGACTTAATTATGTTGTATATATTGTTGTTAGCGATAATGAAAACTAGCCATATGGAAAAAGGACAAATTAAAGAAACTATATTAAAGAAACTATAGTTTATACGAGTAGTCCGCTTTGGAAAAGGTCATCTTTAGTCTTATATATCAAAATCACTATATAAAGCAGTGCTACTCATCAAACCTCTATATATAATAAAGGTCTTCTTCGTATTGTTGTTACTTGTTACCTCAGAGAGATTGGTTCCTTGCGATAAAAGGAAGATATACAAAACCATACTCTTAGTTGACGATGATGATGATCAACTTACGCTCAGAGGAGGGTTCGAGAGGTGAGAAGAGATGTCTTGATCTTCTATCTTTTTATTTTTGAGTTTCTGTAATCATTATCGAAGAGAGTACGTTGGATATTTCTATTTCATATTAGTTAATAACAAAAGGAGGTTTGGGATTACAAAGGGGACCGAAAATACAGAGAGGGAGAGATTGTGTGTTGATAAAATGCCATCACAAGAACATAGGATTTGCATAAGGGTCAGATAAAATGAGCTGCAAGTATAAAGAAGAG